AATAAAATTAAGAGTTATAATTAATATAATAAAATTTTAGATATTCTTAAAAGTCTAATATTAGATATAAAAAAGAAAAATAAATAGTGAAATTTAGATATATTTAAATAGTAGTATTTATTTTAACTTATAAAAATAATTATCAAAAATATAAGTAAGTAAGATTATTACTAATGTAATAAAAAAAAGAACATACTATACTAATACATTTATTTTTAAGTATATAAATATATTATAGATTATAAAATTTCTTATTTCTGTTAAGAATATCATAAAAAAATATAGGTTTTTTTTTAAAATAAAAATATTTTATCAGAGTTTAATTTTACATTATCTCTAACTATTTATATAAATACTATAAAAAACTACTTAAATATATATATATACAAAATAAAAAAGAAAAAATATATAAATAAATATAAAAGAGAAAATAATAACCTAATAGAAAATATTCTTAGAACAAATAAGTAAATTTAAGTATAGTATATTTATTTTTTCAGAAAACAACTTAAAAATATAATCTAATCAGATAATATATTTATTTTTATCATATATGATAAATACATTTTCTTAGCTTATAATAGAAGTCAGAGTTTTTAAATTTTTAATGGAGAATAATTTTATGAAAAAAGGTAATAGTTGCTTAATTTATATTAGCAAATTTTTGATAGTTTATGATTATTTTACATTTTCTAATAAATACAGGTATTAGATAACTTTTCAAAGAGTTTTGTATTATTATAAATTTAAGCAAAAATAATAATAGATAGTAGAAAGCTAAAGATTTAATAAATTAAATAGTTGAATATATTATTTTTATATTTGAAGTGTACTTTTTAGAATGTCAGATTTTATTCACATTTAATAATATATTAAGCTATACTATTTTTTAACCAGATATACTAATTATTAAATATATGAATTCTAGTCTTAATAAAAAATAATTAAAGATTTATAACATATATTTTAATAAAATAATTTAACAACAAATTATTTTTCTATTAAATTATTATATTATAAACAGTTAAAAGAATAAAGTAAGTTCTAATAGAAAGAATATTATAACTAAAAATAGTTTTTATAATTATTTTCAAATTTCAATTAAGTTGTAACTTAATTGCAATATTAGAAAATTTTAATTGTATTATAAGTTACAACTCAATTATATTATTTTTTAATTATAATGTCTATCTTTAATAGAGTTTTAAATAAGTTGAGTTAAATTTAGTTTAAAGGTTAACTTTATTTGACTCATTTTTTTTAAGTTAAGTTAAGTAAAATTTATTTTATAAAATCTTTCAACTTAACTTAATTTGAGTTTTATAAATTTTAAACTCAACTCAATTTGATTTAACTCAAGTTTAACTTAACTTGATTTTGACTTGAATTTATTTGAGTTAAATTAAGTTCAAATCAAGTTTCAAGTCAAATTTAAATTAACTTATAAATATTTAAATATAAAAAAATATTTTTTAAAAAAAAACTACTAAAAAATAAATTTTATTTTTTTAAAATATGATATGACTTCTAGTTTAGATCACGGTAATTAAGGTAATAATAGTAGTAAGAACAATAGTGTAAATCATAGTTTTAGTAATGATAGTAATAAAAAACTTCACTAAAAATTAAAATATTAAAAAAATTAAAAAACAAAAAATTAAATATTAAAATAAATAAAAAATTCAATTAACAAAAAATAATTATAATAAAAAAAATTAAAAAAATAATAAAATAAAATAAAAATAATTAAAAAAAATATGAAAACGAAAAAAATAAAAAAAAAATACAAATAATAAAAAATAAATTTGAAAAAAAAATAAAGGAAAGGAGAAAGAAAGAAAATAAAAAAAGAAGAAAAATAAGATAGGATGAAGAAAAAAAAAAATAAAAAAATTAATGTAAAAAAAAAATCAATCGAAATAAAAAAGGAAAAAGAAAAAATAAATCAATTGATAAATCAATTGATTTAAGATAAACCAGTTTGTTTATCCTTAAAAAATAAGATTTATTTTTAACTTGAATCAAGTTAAGTTTAAATCAAGTTTAAATCAAGTTAAGTTAAATATTTAATTCAACTTAAACTTGATTTGACTTGCAAATTATTAAGTTAAAAAATATAAACTCAACTTGTTTAAACTTAACTTAGCTTATCTGACTTGTAAGTTAACTCAACTTATTCAGAATTCTAATCTTTAATTGTAATCAAATAAAAGATTGAAATTTAAAGATATATAAAAAAATAATGATTCAGCAATAAGATTTTTTTAACACAAAAAGAAAATTAAAAGAGATTATTATTATAGCTAAACATTAAATTATATTCTATTCTAAATTTGATTATAAACTTAAAAACTTTTAGAATGCAGTTAAAAAATTTAGTTGATTAAATTATAATTACTTGTAAACAGAATTACAAAAATTATTTTATTGATTTTATATTTTATTTACTTATAACTATTTATTAATATATAATAAAGATATTTTGTTATATTGATATATATTAAAAAGGCATAATAAATTAAATTACAAAATTTATAATTAAAAAATATTATTTATATTATCAGATTTCTGATTCAGTTTTTCAAATAGTTATTATTTAAACAAGATTAAGATTGCTTATCTAAATTTATTTTAAATTTGGTAAAATATCTATAACTTTAGTTTTATTAAGTTTTATTAAAGTTTTGATATAGTTTTGCATTTTATAAACTTTGATATAATTTATTTTTCTAGAATTTTACAGATTTTTTAATAAGACTTTACTATAATTTTGCTATATTTTACCTTTTTCTATTTAGATAATTTGCAAAATCTTTAGGTTTTATTTAGCAACTTTAGGTAAAACATATTGGATGTTTTATACAAGTTATGAATAAAAAATGTAAAAAATTAATAATATAAAAAATTTATATATAATAATAATAATAATTATAATTAAATACTTATTTTTAATAATAAAATTGGCTAAAAAAAATAGCAATGAGATATAAATCTTTTTTTATGATTGTAATTTTGATCAGTATTATAAAAATAAAATTTAAAATAAAAAAAGTGATCACATGAATTATGTATAGAGTGCTAATTTCTAATTTTATAGTAAAATAATCTTATTTTAAATTACTATTTCTCTATTAAAAATAATTTTTATTAGAATTTTAAAAATATAATTTTGTTAAATATAAATTACTTTATTATTTATATTTATATTTATTATTTTTTAAATAAGGAATAGCAATTTGAATTTTATTAAATTTATTAGTTAAAATTAAGTTATATGTATTACACCAATAATATAAATTCAAAATATTTTTTATAAACATAAAATGTAAGAAAATCTTATGTAGTCATATATGTATTATATGTAAAAAAAAAAATAGGAATAAATGTAATTATTATTTAATATGCGTTACACTTATTACGTATCTTAATTTATATTACTAATATATAATAATTATTATTTAATTTACTATATAATAAATTTAATAATAATTATATATTATATACTAATATTTAATTAATATTAACTAAAATTATAATTTATATTAATCTTAATAAATTATATATATATTATAAACTTTTATTTATATTCATTAATTTAAATATCTTTAAAAATAAATTATTAGTCTAGAGTAAAGTAAAGGACTCTTATATACTAGCTATAAGTTATACAAGATGCTTTATTGTCTATCTACTTAATAATTGAGTTAATGCTGATTAGCTTTTGCAATATTTTTTTAGTTAAAATCATTTTGAACTTAATAATAGTTTCATAAAACTATTTTCTAGTTTTAATATGATTAATATACAATAATAATACAATCAATATCATTAAATATTATTATTTATTATAAATTGTTAAATTTATAATAATTTTTACTATACTATTTTAAATTTATATTTTATAAACTAAAATTAATGAATTATTATTATAAAAAATAAATTACATGTGATTAAATTATTAGTATCTAATAATTAAAAAAATTAAAAATTAAAAATATATATTTAATGTTTATAAAATTTTTAAATAAAAATAATTTTTTAAAATAATAAAATAAAATGATATAAATTAATAAATTTTTTAAATAATTAGATTTTATTAACTTTTAAGTTATATTAAAATTAGAAAATATTTTTTTTTTGAATAAAATAATTAAATTAATAAAATATAAAAAAAAAAAATTAATATAATGTAAATTATTCTATTTTTATAATATATTAGAAAGATTGAAAAGTATAATATTATATAATTTATAAATCTTATATTAATTTATAATGTAATTTTATAATTTCTACTAAAAGTTTAAGCTAATTATATAATATTATATAAGACTTGTAATTTAATGCTTTTCTAATATAAAAAAAAATTAATGTAAGAAATAATTAAAATAATTAAATTTTTAATTAATATTAAAAATAATATAATTAATTTAAAGAAAATACATCTATCTATAGCAAATAGTCTCAAATTTTGTTCTAACTATTCCTTTTCTTTTTATTTATCATCCTGACATTTATAAAGTTGACCAAATATTTTTAATTATCAAGTTTATAATAATTAAGTACTAATAAGCTCATAAATTAATCGGGTAAATACCGGTTTTATAAAAATATTATTATTTAGAAAAAATATATTTGAAGTAAATAATCAACTTTTGATTAAAACTCCTTTCGTATGATTATTATTATGTAAAAAAAACTTTTTTTTGTATCGATAGATAGTAAATAATGTCTATTTTCAAACAAAAAAAATTGATATATAAATATAAATATAAATAAAAAAAAAAAAAAAAAGATATTTATAAAATATGGTTAATTGTTTAATACAAATACAAAAACTAAAGAATAGGGGAGAAAATGTTATTTATATATTATACTTTGTAAGTTATAGATGAAAAATGCAGGTAATTTTATAAAATTTCCAAGTTTATCGGCATATTCGTGATTTCAATTCTATACGAAATATTCTTTATAATGATATAGCCTCATTTTTTTTTTCACATTTAAATGATTTGCAACTATATAAAAGTAAATAAATGAAGGTTGAATATATTGAAAACCATGACGAAAAAAACCCAAAATAATATATTTTGTACTTACATAATTACTAGGAGCTATACCCATTGAACCATCAGTTTTTTTTGCTTGCCACCATTTACCCTTATTGTCAGCAATATCAAGGATCTCTCCCTTACTAAATGAAAGTTCATTTTGATCGTCTGGATTTGCTTGGTCTATTAAATAAATAAATAAAAAATAAATTCTTAACGGGCTTATTCCTCATAATATTTGTAAAGATATTCCTTTTAAACCCTAAATGATCTATTTCGTCCATCATTTTTGATCTAATAAAGATGAACTTACAATCATATAAAGCCTTTGCCTTGTAAGCATAATCAGGATTTGGAGTAACAACAACAGTATTATTTATGGATGGTTCCTGTATGGAAGTTGGTACCATTGCAATCCCTGGACTTATTGGACCAGATTGTGCAAACCCATGAACCGCTTGTGTTGTATTTCTGTCAACTTTGTTTATTGCCAATGAATTTATGCTGCTTACTACAATGGACCCTTCCTCGGATCCAAAACTAAATATCCACACGAACTATTTTAATTATCGAAAAAAGTTGATTAGTAAAATTTTATCCTCTTTTTATATTTTTATATATGAAAACAAATAAAAAAAAAAAAATATATTTTTTTCATTCTTAATACCGTCACAAGAGAAAGGAAAATTGCACCCGCCGCGACTGCTTGATCTTCGGCCAAGTCGGAATTAATTTTCTCGTTAACCAAAGCAACTATGAAGACCAGACTAGCGCCCAGAAATGTTAAAATCTAAAAGTAATGAAATAAATAGTAAAGGATAAAATAATAATCTTGCCCGGAATTATTGCAGCACAACATGAACAAATGAATCCTAACAGTCACAGCATATGTGCTGCAGTTATTAGCAGTGTAACGAATTTAAAAAAGATACGGAAAAGCGATAATATTTGATAGAGTTTGTTGCAATGGCAGCAGCAATACCCAAAATGAGAAATAATTCGAAAATTATATAGAACCAGTTAACACCTGTTCTGCCAGCTGCGGCAGAACCAGCAAATGTAATGATCCAACCAATCTGAAAGAATCCGAATGTAAAAATAATTATTAATTGAACGACTTGATATTATTATAAATGTAAAAAAGAAATATCTCATTTACCAAGGATAACCCTAATGTA